CCCCCCTCCTTTTCTTCCCCTTTCACCCACCCGCCTACCTGCCTACCCGAACTCTCTCCAATGGATCATATTGCAAGAAGAAGAAAAAGTGAAACCTCATCTTATACACCGGCGCCGACGTTGTCGCCGCCATCGCCATTAACCTCATCGTATCTTCCGTCAACGCTCACAGAGAAAAGCTCAAGAAGAAAAAATGTAAGAGCCCTAGCCCTCGATTTACAATATATCCTCTCTTATTTGCTTTTAATTTCCGCTTACTTAGGACTCGCGGGGACAAATGTGCGAATCAATCTCTTCGCATCCGAGATCAAGAGACTAGTTGATGATAAATCGAAGGAGGTTTATGATTCTGTAGCCTCAGTTACCCTCGAGAAAGTATGTGATTTCTTTGATTTTGGGAGGTTTATGATTCTGTAGCCTCAGTTACCCTCGAGAAAGTATGTGATTTCTTTGATTTTGGTGCTTTCTGTGTTATTTGCACTTTAATATCCCTACCCTCGAGAAAGTATGTGATTTCTTTGATTTTGGTGCTTTCTGTGTTATTTGCACTTTAATATCCCAGAGTGTCACCATTTTGAACATTAATAACTTGGCCTTCTATTTTGACAGTTTGATACCCACAAAGTGCAAAAAAATAGTAGGCATTAAATTTTGTTCAAGAATGTCAACATAGAAAAGTGAATGAGGAACAGATTTTCTTAACCAATTTTAGTTTTTTGAGTTTGGTGAAAGTCATGAACAAAGTTAGGGCTTTGGGTATCAAATTGTCAAGTTAATGTCAATTTGAATAGTTTGGTGAAAGTCATGAACAAAGTTAGGGCTTTGGGTATCAAATTGTCAAGTTAATGTCAATTTGAATGCTTTGGGGTTATCAAGTTAAAGGGGGAAACTTTGGTGTATTTGATTGCAAAGAAGTCTTCTTTTGATTTTTTTTGTGTTGAATGTTGTTAGTTATCTTACAAATTTGAACTTTGTGAAGGTTACATATATGAATGTTATAGCGCCCCCGGCAGAGCTCGAAGCATACCAATTTCCCTTATCGAGCTCCGTCGCTGAAATAAGATTGGATTCTTTCTTTTTGATGTGTAGGTGCGGATTCCTTTACATTTTGTTGTTATTCATTACACATGCTTACTATTGGTTGTTGCTAAATAGATTGAGTTTAATGTTTTCAAACTTCATATTCTTTGTGTTTGTTGTCACTTTGAAGCAGAATGGCCGTTACCGTATTGCGAATGAACAAAAGGATTCATTTGGGGCCTCGGAGTTCATTTTATTCTATTTTCTCTGATTTTTTGATGATTTTTTCAGCGGTTTCCTTGGGATCCAAGGTTCGGTATCCTCTTCAATCCAACGCGAGATCGAAGGCGTCAGCGATCGATGATTCATCTAAATCTTCTTCAGTTTCTCAAAGGTGTGATCCATTCCCTATCTGTCATTTTATTTTTTTATTTTTTGTCAAATTTATCATAAATAATTTGGGAGTAGTTTGCTTATTTTGATCTAATATCTAATTCTGTTATTTATTTGGAAATCGATGAGATAAATTTGACCAATATGTTTAAGCAAATAAAAGTCCAACTCGACATTACAACATTTTAGCCGATATTCTTTTACGCCTCGTTTGGTACGCGAGAATGGACTCAAATAAGAATAGAATGGAAGAAGGAATGGAATGGAATTAATGTGAGAATGAAATAGTCATTCTCATTCTCACGTTTGGGTGTAATTTATAAAATGAAGTGTAGTCATTCTCATTCTCACGTTTGGGTGTAATTTATAAAATGAAGTGGGAATGGACGTATTTTAAAATTGTATATTTTATTGATTCTCATTTAAGTGGGAATGCTCATTCCCTATCATTTCATTGGGAATGCTCATTCCCACATAAAGTGGGAATTGATGAGAAGTGGGAATGGACATTCCAACTTCAAAAAAGAGGGTGTGTTTGGTGGGAAGGAATGAGAAGTGAGAATGACCATTCCATTCCATCTCATTCCCGCGTACCAAACGAGGCCTTAAGGTCGAAGTGTCATCTGTTATCAAGGAATCATGATATACTGCTCAATTACTGCAAAGTAGGAAATAAAAGAATATTGTGTCCATATCGTTTTTCGGCAAGCCTTATAAAAAGATATATCGGCCGGTATAATGGTTATGTAGGGCATATCTAAAACAATGTTGAGGAGGAAATTCTGCTCTCTAAAATCTCATTCTACTAAGGAGGAACAGTCTGCAAATAAAAAAGGGAAGCTGACCCGATAGACTTCTGTATTGCAGTATGGAGGCAGATAGAGAAGTAAGAATTTTATGCCTTCGCAATTTTATGCCTTCGCAGTGCTTATAGCGCATAATTTTAATACTTCTGTACGATGCAATAATATGAAGCATATCCCAATTAATATATGTTTTAGTATATACCAAACTGTCATGCTAAAATATGTTATGTGGTTATGTTTGCTAATTCCATGTGTGTTTTTCTATGTATTGGTTATTTTATTCTAAATATACCTCATGATGACTAAAGCTTACTCATTTAATTAAACTTCAGCATAAATATTCTAAAATTTTTAAGCCTATGTTATATTTTGAAGCGTAGTTTTTTCTGTGACAAAACATATCTTAATTTTATGATTGCGGTAATCGTATGTTTAGCAATGAGGATGTTACTATTGGAGCTATGATGCTTGCAATGCAATCATGAAGATAATTGGGCACTTTGTTCTCCAGACTGTACAACATCTTCAATTTCTGTTTAGGACATTCCTAAGTGCTCAGGTTCGTACAGTTTTTCTCTGTTTTTTATTTTGAACTTCAGTATTACATATGATGGATGTTGCCTATAGGGAGCTTTTATAGTTAATACTTGATTAAATCATGACTTTGAATATGATGGATGTTGAAGCGCGCATGTTTATACCTTTCTGAAAAACAATTCTGATATTATCATATTAGAACAGTGTTTTCTTTGATGTACTTTTAGTAAAATCCAAGGCATCTGGAATAAGAGAATTTCAAATACTCTACTGAGCTAATGGATATTTATTGGAAATAGCTGAATGATCATGCAATTTATGTAATAGTTTAGTTCAATCTAACACGTATTGGGTATCTTTTCTTTTTTCTTTTTTCAGCACATATCATAAGCACCTGGAGGATAATAACAATAGTAGTAGAAACAAAACATTCATGAGAAGAATCTTGATAATTTAGTAATTATTATACGTGCAGCAAATGTTGAATTCTATTAAACTATGCTTTTGACATACATAACTCTGATTTCTTGGAAGCTCTCCTTTTACATAATGTAGGGCGTTATCATTGTTCTTCAAATTGACTTTTCCTTTTTCCAGGGTTATGCAACCCAGAGGCAAAGATGTTAATGCTCCATAAAAGAGAAATTTGTTCGAGCTCCTACTTCTGATCAATAGCCAGTTTTGTTCAGTTCATACTTTTACCAATAAATACCTTCCAAGAGAAGCCTGTACAGGAAACCATCCCCAATCTGGGAACAGTGTGTGATTGAAATTCATTGCTCGCCGGATGCTTATTTATTTGCTAAGGATCAAATTCTTATATATATGTTCATCTTGTCCATTACTTTGAGGTCATATACACAAATTTTGTCAATTTTTTCTTTGCCCATGCAGACTGCAGATGTCCGTTGATTGTTCGATAAAATGGATAAATACATTACTGAATGATTGAAGTTTATAAAATTATAGCTTAATATACAAAGTTGATTCAGAACCAGATTAATACCTAAGATAAAAGTCTGTATTCAGGTTAATAGATTTTCATTATTAACTGGATTAGATTGGCTTAGTGAAAGACAACCATGATCACAACTCATCTGCAGAAATCATAAGCCAAACGCAATCACAACTTTCTATTTCTTAATTCAGCCTGATCATGAATTACCATGTTCAAATAATGACTGTAGTGAGTTGGATTAGTTGAGTTCGGAACGGATGGCTAGATTGATCTATCAAATTGATTTTAAAATTCAGATGCTCTACATTTATACGTGCAAACTTTTAGAGAAATATATAACTGAATTGGGTAAAAAGATGGAGTAAATCCAAGTATACAAAAATAAAATCGGCTGTCTGTTCCGAACTCAAGGTAATAAGAAATTATTTGAACATGGTATTACTTGGTGAATAAACAACAAAAAGAATGAAGTATTAATACTTTTGATGATTATTCTGTGATTTGTTTCAATAGACATTTTGAAGCAAATACTTCATACTTTCATGCATCCATCAAACAGAGGATGCATTACAATAAATTGTTGCTCTTTATAAGAGAGAGGGAGTTAAGGTTACTGATAAGGAAGATGTGAAGAATGAATTAATTAGCTTTTATAAGAATATGCTTGCGGATTCTACTAATGTCCAATAAGGAAGATGTGAAGAATGAATTAATTAGCTTTTATAAGAATATGCTTGCGGATTCTACTAATGTCCAGATTGTTGATCCTAAAGCCTATGAGAGGTAGCTTTTATAAGAATATGCTTGCGGATTCTACTAATGTCCAGATTGTTGATCCTAAAGCCTATGAGAGGGGTAAATTTTCTGAAGATAATTGCATTTAGTTTTGCAAAATTATTACTATCCAGGAGATCAAAGAAGCGCTATTTCAGATTAATCCTAAGACGAGCCCTGTCCCAGATGGTTTTTCTTTTAAGATCATTGAAAAGGATGTATATGATGTAGTGATGAGTTTCCTCAAGCACAGTTAACTATTTAGAGAGGTAAATTCTACATCCATTGTACTTACACCTAAAGTAAAGTCCCATGCTTTTGCCTCAAAATTCAGGCATATTACTTGGTGAATAAACAATGAAAAGAATGAAGTATTAATACTTTAAATGATTGTTCTGTGATTTGTTTCAATAGTCATTTTTTGCTCGACGGTTGATTCCACTAAAATTTAACTTCAATGTTTTTTAAATAGTAGTATTATTCTATTTTCTCTGATTTTTTTATGATTTTTTCAACGGTTTCCTTGGGATCCAAGCTCCGGCATCATCTTCGATCCAGCACGAGATCGAAGGTGGCGGATCATTTGATTTTAATTTGCACAAAGGAGGATGTAAGAATTTGCGAGGATCAAGGAGAAGTACCATATAAGAAGTTTCAAGGCCTCTCTTGCCATCTCTCTCATTTTGTACTCTTTCTCAACACAACCCCCTTTCTATGTTTCCTTTTGTTGACGTTGTTTGCTTATTATCATTTTTCTATTATTTTTGTCGTTCCAAATAATATTGCATGTAGATTTGATATGGATTTGATCATTCATAGTTTGTATTAGATTTTCATGCTTTGGGTTTTGGTTTGACTTGAAAGGTGAGAATATTGAATATAATTCTCAAGTTACATTGCAGGATGCAGCAAGACTTTTTTACGTGGGGTTCTGATGTCATTCATATTACATGGATGATGTAGCACTAAGTGGAGATTAAATTCGGTCCACTATTATTTCATTTGGATTTTTGTCTAAACTAAGAGTGTTGCATGCAATAAACTAAAGCTTTGATCTTTTGCATGTTCAGATATTGTTGCGCCATTTTTTTAAATTAAGGCATAAGTTCCTTTCAAGTGTCTTATAAGTTCCTTTCAAGTGTCTTTCTATTATTTTAGAATGATATATGTAGTTTGGACACAAACTTTTTAACCAATACAAGGCATTGATTGTTTAGTTTAGATAACCATTTTGGTTTTTATTTACAAATTCTATCAATATCTTACGTATGAATAATATTAAGCACTCGTTGTGGTTCCCCTTCTTTTACTCAACTTATTTTATCTTTTGTTAGACATTATTTAGGACATGCATTGCAGCAAAGACATTCATCTCTTAGAAATGGTTTCCAATGTGTGCAATCATTTCTTCAATTTAGTATATATTTCTTGGTTTGACTTGATGATCGAATTCTATTCATATATATATTTTGCATTGTCGAATCCTTTGAGTTATCTGTTACACTATTCCTTCTTTCTATATTTTTTAAGCAAATTTAACAATGTCATTAATAACTTAAGTTTTACGCATGACAACAAACATCTGAAGAAGTTTAGATATGGCTTTTTGAGTTCCTCTCTAGCATCATGAACATCTACATGTTGTTGTGGAATGATTTTATGTCAAAAAAATGCAAAAGAATAAACAAAAAATCTTTTACAAACCGTTCTTTGCACAGGTTTAAATACTCGTCGATGAAGTATTTTGCTTGTGGATGCATGGAAACTTGTGAAGGGATTTTGACATGTTGAAAATGAAATCATGTCACTTCACACTACTATTCTCAAGATATCATGAGAATCACCTATCCTCAAGCTCCCATGAAGATCGCTTTTTCCAAAGAGAAGATACACCTGTATCAAACAGAGAGCGTGGTTATGGAGGAAGAGGATCTAATGATGGATGGCGTAGTTCTTTTGGGGGTCGAGATCTAGAGGTCATGATAATCTTGGGGGTCGAGGCAATAGAGGAAGATTTGGGCAGATTATTGGACGAGGGGGGAGATCTGATCATCCTAACCCCTGGCAATGGCGCAGGGAAAGAACTACCTCAACCTTTTCTTCTTCAAGAAAGCAAGAGCCTTTTTCAAAGATTGTACAGCAGGACAAGGGCAAAAGACCTCTGGCTTCGGTGGATGAAGATAAACTACAAGAGAATGTTTTTCATTTTAAGATCAAGAACAGAGATATTATGGAGATCTGGAAGCTGAACTGAAGATCTCAGGTGATCGTCCTCGTTTCTCCTCTGCTGTCTTAAATTTTGAGGGAGAAGTTAACTCTAGTTTTTAGAAATTCAGAAATTTTACTATAGTTTCTTTCGTTGAAGGGGGTAATATTTCTCTAGAAAGATTGGAGTTAGATTTGAGGGCTTATTTTCCTATGAACAAGCATAGGGATGTGAGGTTATTCACTAATGGTGAAGTCTCGATTAAAATACAACCGTGGAAACAAATGGATGGGTTGATAAGAATAGGGATGATAAATCCGAGATCTTGTAAAATTAAGCTTAGAAGATGGAGTGCTTGGGAAGGAAATGTGGTAGAAAAAAGAAGATCATATGTTTGGATCAAAATGAAAAATGTTCCACCTCATTTGTGGAATAAAGAATCATTTGAATAATGGTTGAACCTTTTGCTGATCTTGTTGAGTTGGACTCATTAACTAATGCTTGTACTGAGTTTGTGGATGCAGTGTTGTTGGTGAGCTGCTTAGAATACATTGATATTCCTAAAATTTTGAAGGTTTTTGTTGGAAAAACTCAGTATAACATTGAGGTCTCTATTATGTCTATAATGGGGGAATTTGATGAAGGAGAAAAGAAAAAACAGAAGGTGGACCAATTAGAGGACACCAATGTTGGCCTTCTTGTTTTGATGATGTTTAACAAACAATTTACCACTAATGTTGTTTGTCTAGTATTTGTGTTTTCGTATTTATTGTAGACAAACAACATAGTTGGAGGTTGGATGGATTGCGCCTTAACGAACATATCAAATGGAGGTTGGCGGAACTGTGGAGTGAAGCAACATACAATTCAAGTTAAAGATCAAGTTCAAGCTTCATCCGCAAAGAGTACCAAGTCAAGCTTAATTGAAGATCAAGATTGCTTGGGTAATTTAGTTTAGGATTTATATTATGTGTGTTATATACTCTAAGCTCAATTATCTATACACACACATTTTATTAGTTTCCTTGTATATATATGTAATCACATATATATACAACACAAGTTTTGGTTTTCATGTCTATAAATATGAAATTACATGTTTCATATTTATTATTGTGATTTGGTTTATCTACATAGATATGAAACAAATATATTTTCATATACATACTCATAGGTTTCATTTTCTATTGTATTTGTGAAAATATTGTATTCTTAGTTTGTAGACTTTAATATCAGTTTATACATGTTTTACTAAGTCTACAAAAACATTTCACAAAGTTTCAAAAGTTGGTTTATGTCAAAACATCAAAATTCAAGTATATCATATTTTCATGTTTTGGACTAGTTTGTAAAAAGATGATATTTTTCTTTTGGGAAGTCCTTTTTCGAAACCAGTCGTTGTAGCATGTTTATTATCATGTCTACAATCATTCCCCAAAGTTTTACATTTTTTGGAATTTATTTGATATTTTTAAACAGGGTTTTAAAATCAGCTCTAAAACCGATTTTTTCTGGAATGTCAGTTTTCGGTCGACCGGTACGGTCGACCGGTCAATTGACCATTCGTCAGTATTTTTCCAGAGAGTCGTCGGTCGACCGGTCCGGTCGACCGAGAGCTCAAATCGGTCGACCGACAGAATTTCCGGTCGACCGACGTTAGTCCAGAAAGTTTTCTTCGTGTTTTTGCTCTCATCGGTCGACCGACGGGATTTTACATTTATATACTTGTTTGATTATCATTGTTTCTTAAGCTAGATTTTATACTTGAGTTTAGTTAATTTGATCTTATTTACTCATTGTTACACACACACCCACATTGAGCTTATTGTATCTTTCATACATAGGTTACACACACCCACATTGAGCTTATTGTATCTTTTCATACATAGTATAGTTGGGTGGTGAGAGATTGTAACTTTGAGTTGTGCTTTCATTG